TAGAATTTACTGTTTCAAAAGCTATATATGTAGTGTCTCATACCGATATTAATATGAAGTCCTTCTTTGATTTTGTTTTTTTTGGGGGGACATCTATCAATACTATTTCTAGGCACAGTAGATAGCAGAATGCGGAATCAGAGACCCGGGTTCGAATTCCAGTCAAATCCATTACATTCACTTACGTGCTAATACCCTTGGGGAAGGTATTAATCCTCCTCTTCTCCCTCCAGCTATGGGTAAATAGCAGAAAAGACTGGATTCTATAGCCTTGGATGGCAACTGGTCTAAAAAAAGGACAACTCAAAACTTACGGAGGGTTGTGTGAGGATCTTCAAAAATCTGGTTGGTTCTGCAGAAAGCCTTCACCATTGGGCTATCGGTTCTGGGCTGTCGGTTCCTAGGTACGGAGCTGCTTGACCCTCATACGTCGAATACGACTGGAGAGTCCACCATAACTATCAAAATGTCGAGCCAATAATTTCAATGGTAAAGCTTTTATATGCAATTTGAGACATTTATAAAGTTTTATTTCAACTAAATCCGCATTAGATTTAAACGAGAGAGAAAATGTTATTAAGGTTAATTATATAAACGCTCATTTTTTTTAAAATAAAGATTTTCATTAATTTCAATTCAGTAGATATTTGTATTATTTCAAATACTTTTCAAGTTCGAATATTCATTTCTTTGAATTACCCGAGGTTTCACCAACAAATGCAACGATGAAAATATGTCAAAAAGTGTTTTTTTTCCGCATTGTCATATATATTCGCATTCTGATGGATCCTCATCCAAATTTAAAATTTAGATTCTAGAATGAATCTAAAGTTTAAGTAAAGTTCACCGATAAACAAAGAACAATAATCTAAGACGTTTTATATACCGTATATGCTCGTCTAACGTACAATGTTTATTTTAAATAAAGCTTTATTTTTTACTACAGTAAATGGATATATAATTTGGTAAACAACCAGGAGTACATAATTCAATTTTATATCTCATGTACGATGCGACCCTCTTAAAATTAGCTTCATAATTAGGTCTTCAAAAGTCGTATGATACTCGAGTATATATAGTATTTTGAATATATAACCGATAACCGTTTAACAGTTAAAGACTAGGTAATTAGAAAAGGCATGGTTTCATCGTCCTCCAGCTAAGGGTGAAGTATCTTGTTACAGGTGGCAACCAATTGGGGAGAAAGAAAACATCCCGTAGCTTTAGTATATGTGATGCACCAACTAATTGAAATGGATCTCGTTTTGTTTTACAAATCTTTTAATGTGCAAATATTTTAGTCAGGTAGAATAAAGTGAGCGCTTACACTTAAATACAAGTATCGATTAAAATAAATTTTTAAAGTCAGAAAAATCTATCGTACAAATACAAAATCGATTCTAATATATATATATATATATATATATATATATATATATATATATATATATATATATATATATATGAGTTAAAGATAAAACGTCGATCAAATATAAATCTGAATACGACAGGATGGTAAAAGAACAAATAAGAAACGTATATTAATGTAACATGTTTCACTTTTATTAAAGCTTCGTCGGAGCATTCTATCTATCTATCTATATATATATATATATATATATATATATAGAGAGAGAGAGAGAGAGAGAGAAAGAGACAGAGAGAGAGAGAGAGAGATGAGGGTAAATCAAGAAGTAAAGGCAATTTTGCTTATAACACCTTTATTTCCACTATGGAAGTACAAATGCATATCTCACTTTTCGACATAGTCCCCGCCACCCTGCACGTCGATGCAACTCTGCTATCGTTCAACAAAAGAAAAGAAAACGTACTTCATTTGCAGAATGCCGAGTAGGAGTTGCTCTTCGTCAGGATGTGGAATCGTAAATGGAAATTGCCTTTATCCTAAGAAAATCTAGTTGCAGTACGTAAAAAATTATAAACGGATTTTGAAACCTAAGATTTTTCATATAGGCTAAACTCTTAAGGAAACAGAAGAAACACCTTCGTAGAAAAAGTTAAACAAATTAAATTTCGACATGTGAATTTCGAGCCAAAAATCTCGAGTTCAGCAAATTAAATTCCGACATATGTGATGTGAATGATTATTCATTTAAATGCCATGTCCCTTCAGGACGTACAACTCTCAACGGATTCCCTTTTTTTCTTATTTGTGAATTACCATACATTCGTGGGAAAGTTAGTTCCCCTTGCTTTCTCCACGATTTTTAATTTAGAATTCTCTTTCTCTTAGAGTGGGTTACCACCAAGAGTTAGAGAACGCAGTATACGTTGATTTTTGCTCCTTAGCTAATTTGAGAAAACCCGACTTCATATCTTTTTATCTACAGGCGTCACACCTAATGTAAATGCCGCATTTCCCGAAATTTATCGATGAATTTGAACTGGGCTTACCGATTTCACTTTCTGTTACAATATCCTTTGCGCCATATTGTTTTTTTAATGGTTTTAATTTAATTTTGGATAGTTCTTTTACTTTTGTTCAGTTGTTTTTCCCAGCTTTCAATCTTGTATTCTCAACATTCAATAATTTTACAATATTTCTTTTTAATTATCCCCCCCATAAAAAAGCAATAAAACCACTAAGATGCAAGAGATTACTAAGTGTTAGAGAATACGAGACTAAAACACTATTAAGTAAACTGACATTGATTGCATTTATATTTCTGAAGATCAAACATGACTAGAAAGGGTTTTAGGAGCATTCGCCGTAAACATTTTTGCCGTAGGAAAATTCGCCTCATGATTTTTCGCCGTGGAATACTTTACCGTATAGATTTTTTTACCGTAAGACAATTTGGTTGCAATTTCTTTTAATATGCGAAGTATATCAAGTATATCTGGCTCACACTATTGTTACTTCGATTTAAACATTTTAATAAATGAAGTTATAGGATTAAAATCCTACATCATTCATCCTCATCAATGAGGAGTGCAAAAAATTCAACATTACACCAGAACCTACGTCACGCAGTACATATTTAGGAAGCATTGCTTGGCATTTGTAGACATTTTAAATTATTTCTTTGTTAAGTCGATATATTTTTAGTCTTTTATTTTTTAAATAAATGTTTACTTTTTAATTTCTTTTCTAATGTTTGACCCTGTAAAAAAAGACATCCATTTTTATTTGATAACAATGTACTTCGCATATTAAATTGGAAATTACTCCAAAGGGAGGTTCAAGACAAGAGTATCGAAAAAAATTTGTCTTACGGCAAAAACCATAAACGTCGAAATGTCCTACGGCGAAAATTCCTGAGGTGAGTTTTCCAACAGCAAAAATGTTTACGGCGAATGTTTCGGATACGGACTGGAAAGAAAGAAGCCGGAAGAAAATTTCACTAGTGATAAGTTCGATAGAAGCACCTTTTAGAATAGAACTTACAGTTACAAGTTATCAATTCACTTGTAAAATGATGATACTTGCCGTCAATCTAATACCGCGCTTATAGTTATAAAGTCTAGGTAGCATGGAGGAAAGTTCATCAGAAAAATTCTCATAAAAATATTTTTAGAAGAAAAGCAATGGACAGCTAATTTATGGCGGTGGGAAAGTAACTAAAGACAAGATGTCAGGTCGGGACAAATAATATTGACTATTTTTTTTTAAATTATCAAGAATCTCTAAAGGACTAGGCCGATATGGACGCAATATTCAAAGCAAGAACGAATAGAAACTTATAAATATATAAGATAGATTTTAGCCAGAAAAATTGTCTAGCACGGCAATCAACTTGTAACCGCCTAGCAACTATTTTAATATAATCTTTCTACTTCATGTCTTTCTTTTAAGGTTATGTTGTTTTTATGAACTCCGGTAATATTTATATATCTGAAATTTAAAAAAATACTGTAACAGTATTATTGTTCTGTTATATTTATCTCCAATATGATAAAAAAAAATTAGAATTTTTATATTAAAATCACATGAATCCAAATAAGTTATTTTAAATATTTCAAACGTAAAAAATAGTTTCATGCAAATGTCTGAAACACACTGTGTCAATTGTATTAACAATTATGTAACTTACAATTTTTATCTTAGATTTAATCCAAAATTTGAAAGCAGATAACTGCCAAATCAATAAACATCATATTTCTATGTATTTTGAATTTGCTAAAAGTGACAGGTTTTAACAAGAACTACAGACATTTTAAAGAACAAAAAACACTAAAAAGGAATTTGGTAAATTGTAGCGAACAAACGCTGTAAAGTGTGACATTCTAAAATGAGAATTTATATTAGTTTAGAATAATTTAAAAACAAATAAAATTAACTTTTCATTTCATTTGCAAATGTTGTTCGTTGTCAAGTATCCTTTTTTTTTAAATGGAAAAAATGAAAAATTGCCTCTAGCTGAGGAATATGTCACTGTTGTGTGCAACAAATTTATATAAAAAAATTCTGATGAGAAAGATCATTCTGCAAATTATCTCAAACAGACAAAAAGGAAATGGTAATTAAACCGACAAAACATCCAAAAGAAACGGCCAATCAAATTCGAAATGATTTGAATTCGATAAATAATGTGTGTGATGATACTATCATCTATTCATTACGACGAACTAATTTATCTGGTCGAAATGCAATAAGAAAACATACATTCACAGCAAAACAAACACAAATGTAGAAAAATTGTGGCGTGCTTCTAAAACTGAACGGTAGCTCTCTTCTTCTATGTGACAAACCCACTCTGGACGTATGTGAGGGTGACTCTCTATAATTTCTTGTCCTTGTACCTCTTAATAAATTTTGTCTTTTTCTTATCTCTCCGAAAAGCTTTTCTGTAATCTATTTGCACAAGCTCGCTGGGTAGGTTATACGCTGTTTTCTTTTCTTCCCTTTAAAATATTCCGTGAGTGTCAAATTTTCCAAGTCCTCTTTCCTCTTAATTTGTCCTAGAAATGTCAAATCTTTCTTCCTTTTCTTAAGCATCAGCGTCCTTTTTGCTTCCATTTTCACTAAAACTTCCGGCTTACGGTCATATCAAATTGAAACACCAGTTCCCGTACAATCACCGGAGTTAAGCAACCTTGAGCCGGGTTAGTACCTAGAGGGGTAACTGCTTGGGAATACCAACTGCTGTAACTTGGATGTGCGTGTGGCGTAATTGTTAATAATTCGGAATTTTTAATTGGAGATACGATTTCCAGTTCGGTTTATGTTCGTTATATTCATTTACGTGCAAATCCACTTGGGAAAGCTATGAATCCACCTCTTCTCCCCCAGCAATGGCTTAAATATCAGGACAGACTGGGTCCTATAGCCGTCTTCGCTAACCATTTTAATGTAGAAAGAAACGGCAATCTACAGCTAGAAAAAAAAACTCTCTCTCTCTCTCTCTCTGATATATATATATATATATATATATATATATATATATATATATATATATATATATATATATATATATATATATATATATATATATATATATAAAAAAAAAAACCTAGTGATTAAAAATATTGAGGGTTTAACCTAAACATGGATCGTCAGGGAAGACTGGTCAGCTTAGGTGAAACCTTAGTAGTTTTGTCTGGCTTTCTAGGTTTAACTAAATATTTTACTTACTGTATTGAGCACTTTATTTAGTTGTTTTGCGTACTCGTATCGGTTTTTTTTCTTCTTTGGGCCTTGGACTTGCATGCTGGATGATTATTTTCGGCTAACGTACATGTTCTTTCTTTATTCATACCTTTTTTCCATTTGGTATTGGTTTGATTATTTGCAAATCAAGATACCGAAGGTTTTCCGAACGAGAGTAGTTTCTTATACCTATGGGATTACTACTATATATATATATATATATATATATATATATATATATATATATATATATATATATATATATATATATATATATATATATATATATACGGAAAAAACAAACAAAAATCCTTATATACAATTATGCTGTTTTAATGCTAATATGTCAACGTCGGACGTTTTGGTCTAATAAACCATCTTCAGGACATATTCATAAATTATAACATTATCAATTCAACATGACAAAGACGATGTACATAAGAACAAGACTTATCCAAACAGATAACTGAAAGTTTTATAAGATCAGCGTTTTAAATCCGTTTAAAAACATGGTCACGTTGTCGTCAATAGGGGCGACGCTGTGAAAACAATATTCCTAAAATTTGATATTTTGAATGAAAAATGAAAAGAATTTATTTTATTGGTCATAATTTATTCCATTGGAATCGTAAATACGATCCAATTCATCAGACCTACAAATTCAAAAAGAAAACAGAAAAAACAACTCCGGCAATAAAAACAGAATTTAGAGAGAGTGGAAGTATGAGGGTGTGGGAAGAAGGGGTAACCGACTAGAGAAGGAGGGAGATTAAACCTTAACAGAGAGAGTTTTAGGAGAGGTGAGTGGAGGGGGTTAAAGTAAGAGAAATATGAATGTTGTCGGATGTCTAATGCATAAAGATACATTTTGTGGTGATATACACACACTATAGACGATCTAATGTTGAAGATCAGAATAAGAGGACGGGAAAGAAGAGGTGGGGGAGATAGATGGGGCGAGGGAAAATAAAATTGAAGGACATTTACTGAAAGGGCTGCTGTGTAATTGAGAAAATTTGACAAATTTGATAGCGACTACAGGTTACAAATCAAATATAAACATATAAAAAATAAATATAACGATTATCTAATCTAGCAAGGACCTATATTTTTATGTACAAAAACACATGCGAATACACACATACACAATAACATATACACGTATATACATACACATAGGCGTGTATATATATATACATACATACATATATACATATACATACCTATATATATATATATATATATATATATATATATATAGTAGCGTTTTAAGGAAAAAATTTAAACGTCAATATCTCAAAAGATATAAATCCAAATATTCTGAATTTTTCACTAAATGTCGACAAATGTCAGTTTACTGTATGTTATTTGGAATGATACGAAGAGAGCTTTGGTTCATTTAATCCTTTACGCAAATATCAAGTGTCCAAAATTAAGGAACAAATCAGGAACAATGTGAGAATAACGCACAATCCGAATCTCTGATTGGCTAGATTTGGTTAAAGAATGTTTGTCATCACTACGTCATTTTACAACATGGCGAACCGATAAAAAGTTGACAAGTCTTTAAGAGTTGGTGTTGCCCAACTGCTTAAGGAAAATCATATAAATGACGAGATTGCTGAACAGGTGAAGCGTTCGAAAAGCGTCGTGAGCCGAATTCTAAAACTGTACTAATACACTGGTCGCTTAACGAATCCAAACAAGGTGGGGGAACCAAGAAAATCAACTTCTAGAGGAGACAGGATCGTTTAAGGCCTCGCACTAAAGGACCGTTTTCGGACTGCGGCAGACATTTCACGAGAAATTTAAAATGACATTAATGTGTCCAGGGAAAGTGTGTCTAGACGCTTGCACGAAATCGGGCTTTATGCTAGGTGTTCACAGATGAAACCGCTCATAAACAAAAAAAAAAAACAAGGTAGCAAGACTGGAATTTTCAAACAAGGACGTGTTGTTGTCAGAACATTGTTCCATCGTATTTTTCAGTGACGTAATTAAATTTAATGTATTTGGTTCTGATAGAAAACAGTATGTAAGAAGACGAATTGGCGAAAGGCTGAGTTCAAAGTTCATCAAGAAGACAGTCAAGTTTGGCGGAGGCAGAGTGATGTTTATTAGCATGTTTTCAAGTCAGGTTACGTCACCTCTTGTACACTTACATAATAGAGTTAATACTGCTATGTACAATAATTTTTTAGAAGAACATATTGTGCCGGTATTACAAAATTATGGGTTTGAAAATTCAGTGTTTGTGCAGGATAATGCTCCCTGCCATTAGGCAAGGCAGGTTATTGCTTATCTAAACGGCCAACAAATAAACGTTATCGATTAGTCAACTCAAAGTTCTGACATGATTCCCATAGAAAATATATGGAAGATTTTAGGACAGAATGGTATGGTTAGGAATCCATAAATGTCGAAGATCTATGCAGAGAATTACAGGATGAATGAGCTAAAATTACAGTTGACGAAGGTCAAAATTTACTGATATCCTGTGGATGCTGACGTGCAGCAGTGATTTAAAAACAAGTGTCGTAGCAGTAGATATTAATAAGACTTTTTATATACTGTTCTTCATTTTTTTTTATTAAAACCATTGTTTTGTTCCCTAATTTTGTACACATGATATTTGAGTAAAATATTAAATGAATCATATCTTCCTTGTATCATTCCAAATGACTTACAGATGTAAAGCACAAGTGAACTGCAATTTGTCTACATTTAGTGAAAATTTCAGAAAAATTGGTCTCGTATTTCTTGAGATATCGAAGTTTTAATTTTTGTTCTTTAACTTTCCAACGCTAAAATATATATATATATATATATATATATATATATATATATATATATATATATATATATATATATATATATATATATATATATATATATATATATATATATATATATATAATATAATATAATATAATCTAAAAAGGCACACCACTAATATTTCATGGTTATAATTTATTACACTGAAATCGTAATTACGATCCAAATCATCAGACCAAAAAATTACTCTGTCCTGGACATTGAGTTCTACCAGGATTCTATCCTGTTGGGAAATATATATATATATATATATATATATATATATATATATATATATATATATATATATATATATATATTTATATATAACTATATATAAATATATATATTTATATATATAGAATGTATATTTTATATATATTTATATATAAAATATATGCTATATTTATATTGCATATATATATATATATATATATATATATATATAGAGAGATGAGAGAGAGAGAGAGAGAGAGAGAGAAAAAGAGAGAGAAAGAGAGAGGAAAATGTAATGAAAAAGAAAAATATATATATATATATATATATATATATATATATGCGGTAAGTTTTATTCACAAGTTATAAGCGATTAGAATAAGCTATTGAAATGGAAAATAATAAAAAAAATTATTGAAACATTTCCTAAAAATGTTGGAAAACATTCAAATAAGAACGCGAACATATTTATTGTTTCTTTTTCAGAAATCCATTAATATCTTTCCGCATCTATCGCTTTAATGAAGATGTGTTTTATTTATGACTTTGTATTGCTTTGTTCAACCACTCCAAACAATTACATGAAACTTTTCATTCCATTATTCTGATATTACGTTACGCTTTCCTCACACTCCTGAAAACATCACCTATTTGCCGCCAACGGGAATATCACTTGAAACAACCATCATTACCTTTAGCCTCTTTTCATTGGTTAATAATTCCGCCTGCTGCAGTGATATAAGATTGAGTATTGTTCAGAATAATCTACGTTTCTTTTTATTGCTTTTCGTTGCTTTTCGACTCAGCATTTCAGATCCGCATAGACATTAATTAAAAGAAACTGCGCAAAATCTCAAATCCCTTTTTTAGCTGAATTAATTGAAGCGACGTCCATCAAGGGAGATACGTATTTTAGTCTCGCCAGAAGTTCTTTATTTAAGATTTTTCCACTGTTAATTTTATCAGTCAGGTTTGCGTTAGTATGAAACAATAAGAAGTCCATTGAATGTATTAAAATATTTAGATGAAAAAATATTATTTAAATCAGAAGGCATAGGGAAGTTATGTTAAGGCGGTCGGAAAGGGACTGAAGCCGAGATGCCATGTCACGATCAATGCTATAACAGATTGTTCTTTGGATTCTATCAAGAATATATATATATATATATATATATATATATATATATATATATATATATATATAAATTGAATTTTTTCGAAACGAGTCTAGTTATCTATATTTATATGTATATATATATATATATCGCAGTACCAACAGACAATATATGGTAGGAAATATTCAAAGTAAGGACAAATGTACATTATTCGGACTATTGTCCTCATCTTTGTCGCCATATTTATTACAACATTTCGGCCATACACAGATGTTCTCAAGGACACATGGCACAGTGATAAAGGCGTTAGTTAGATCCAGTTACAGGACCCAAAGAGTGTGAGTTCAATATCTTGT